GACTGAACCTTTTATCAACATCAATAAATCACAATATCTCAAATCCTTGTTTTGATTATTGCGATCTATCGGGGGGAAATAATCAACAGCATGTGTACAAACTCACATTTGTGGTTAGTGTCTCGGGCTAACCATTTGCCTTTGGGGCAGTTGGTGGTGCGAATGATGCCAACAGTGTCTCCTTTCTGAACTGGGAGGTCATTCTTGCGAACCTTGCTAGCCACCATCGCCTTGACGTGGTACATGGCCTCCTCTTCACCGGTCACCTAGAGAGAAACCTTTCAGTAATGTAATACTTTTCATTTACCATCATTGTGATACTAAAATACTTCTTTAAAATGCAGGATTGAATATGAGCAAGTTAAAAACTGACCACGACAAGTACTATAGTATTTACTAATCAGTTGAGTATTTGCCTAACTTACTTTGAACTTCTTTTTTATTTCATGTTCCTTCTTCTCCCTCTCTTTTAGCTCCTTTTTCTCCTTCTCCAGTCGCTGCTTTTCCCTCTTCTTCCGTTCTTTATGTTCAGCTGTGTTAGGGCTGTTACGTTCTTTACTGAAAACAAATCAGACTGTTCAATGGCCTCAAAGAAAACTCATTTTACATAAAGATAACATGTTCCACCTGAATATAAATGGAACCACATTCCAGTAAAAAATAACTGAATTAGAAAAAACTAAGGTTTTTCCGATGTGTAAACAGAGGGAACAAGTATATGGCTGTATGAGAGGGGATATGTCTGACATACCTGTGGGCATGAGTAAAGCTCGGGTGAGAGGGTTCTCGTGGCAAACTACCCCTACCACAGTAAGACAAAAATCAATGACTGGCCATTTTTAAAAGATAAAACACAAGACTTGTACTGTATGTTTAAAATAATACATACCGTGGATTCCGCTGCCATAAATGAGGAGGCGCCTCTTCTTTCTGAAAATAAAAGATTATTTTTTGATTTACCACATATTGTTCTTCATAAACGTACTCAATAAAAACATGATTAAATGCTCATTACAATGTATTTAAGAAAAGGAGTTACCGTCGCACGGTTAACGTACGGATCTGTAAAAATGGTGAACAAACAAGTTAAACAGGGAGAATAATGATCTGCGAAAAGCACTTCTATCAGGAAGAAATACCGTAATAAGTGAACATTCTTACTCTTCAGTCCCGCTTTACGTTTGCGCGAGTTCTGGCCAAAGGTGAATTTGTTGATGTTCTCGACATCCTCGTACACATTATCGCACGCTTCATAGTAACTGTCCTGTGAAGATACACTAGAGGAAGCAAAACAAACAGATTGAACGAACAGGAAATGTTATCAGAAACTAGAATGAAAGTAGAATAAAACTCACTCGGGATGTGGTTGACTCCCATCATACAATGCTGCGTGGTTACTATTGGCTGTTTCGTGCACAGCAGAGTTGGACTCAGCATCTCCCGGATCAGTCTTGTCAGCTTTAGTGCTTGAAAGAGGATCCATATTCACCTCCTCGCTCTGAGACCACTGCTCTGACACGGCAGACTCTGGGAAATCTGGGAGGTTTATTGGTTCAGGGAAGCTGGCCGGATCAAGAGGCATTATGTTTAGACTGCCGAGGTTCAGATCTTGGACGTCGGTGCTCATAAAGGGCTCTACAGGATCGCACATTAATAATTGAGTTTGTGGATACTCGTAATCGGCGACCCCAAAGTCATCTGGTACAGGAAGCTCAATGCTGACTAAGTCTAAGGCCTCCAGTTCTAGCGCAAAAATGTCAACAGCTCCACCGTCTGCCGTTTCAATCTCAGAAATATCAAAGTCTGGAAACTCTGGAGCATCGAGCACAGACTGGGAGATGGATGGGTGCTTGGGCTTTCGCTCTGCGCTTGGTTCTTGGCTCAGACCTGATGACACCTCTATAATAAGAAACCAAGATCAGCATTTGAACAGATGTTCAGCCTAACCACAAGAAAGTATAATGTAAACTGCAGCACTGAATACATACAGTGAGCGATGTCAAAGTGAAATCAAACTTTTTGCCAATATAGTCTTCAGTCCGTCAACCACAAAAGGGGGGTTGGGGGAAATAATATTAAAATGAAGCACAGCTACTGAAATGGAGAAGAAAAAGATACAGAAATGAAGAAAAGTTAACAAACCGTTAACTGTGGGTTGATGGTAACAGCTGAGATCCACAAATGGAGGTCTGGGGGGCTTTTTGGGCAATGGACCCAGTGACATCAAGTCAGGCAGAGGCTCCTTTCGAGGGGCAAGTGTTGGATGAGGTTCACCACTCTTGACATGGGGAAGAGTTTGATCTCTGCCAAATTGCTTATTTCTAGCATACTCTAGCCATTGGGAAAGAAAATATCACAAACACGTTAGATATCTTATCGAAAAACTACTGTAGTATAGGATGAAATGGGTGTCTGACGTGGACAAAAAATGGTTCTGAATGTAACTTACTGTGTGGTGTGTAGTCTGCTTTGAAGAACGGCCGGGCCGATAGGCAAGCCAGGTGTGGAAGATAGACGGGAGAGGGTATGGGTAGTTTGGGTAGTTCAGGTTCCACCAAGTTATTTGGCGGCGAAGAAAACGCCTCGTCTCTCGAGGCGAAGTCAGGGGAACGCCAGCTCTTAGCTTTAACAGAGATCAACATCTGCTTGCGTGAAAACTTCTTCTTGGCTTTCTCCAAGGTGCTCATAAATTTATTTTCTGAGTCGACACTGGACTCTGCAGTAGGAGGGGTGATTGGGATATCGGGGCTGGACAGGGGGTACTCGGCGGTTGATTGGTCACTTGGGAGGGAAAGCCCATCTTCTATGGTTTGTCTTTCCAAGGAAAGCTCACCAGGAGCACTGGAGGGTCTGATGGTCAAATCAGCATACATAGGCTCATTTCCATTTTCCGCACTGATCTTTGAAGCTTTAGTTGACTTGAAAGGAAGCAGCAAACCTTTCTTCTTGATTTTTGTTTGTGGCGGGACTTCTTTCTCTGGCTCTGGATCCAGTTTGTGCTCCTTTTTGACCGGCGGTTCTGTCTTTTTCTCTTTCGCATGCAGGAGAGGAAGCACCAGAGCCATGTGTCTGTCTTTGATGGAATGCCTTATTGTTGCCTCTCCATTAGTCGGCTGGGATGAGGGGGAGGTCTGCTGAGGCTGTGGTGGAAAGGATATTGGTCGTTTACCTCCAGATGCCCGCAGCCCATCTCTGAATATGACCCGGGGAACTGGGGGCTTGTTTTCCACAGGAATATTAATACTGCTGACCAAAGAGCTGAAGTGTCCTCCGGAAGGTGGAAGGTATTTGGGTTTCTCTGCAACAGGTGGGCGACTAGCTTTGGATTGAGCCAAGAGGGCCTCTTCCTGAAACTTGGCCCTCAGAGCTTTGAAACCGCTCAGTCCCTCCATTGGAAAAAAAGAGAAAAAGAATCATGAGTAATTAGATTAATAGAAATATGACTACTTTCACAGGAAATGTACTTAAATTATTATTTATGGTAGCAAACCCCAATGCTGGCCTGTTGGCACAACATCATTTGAGGGTTGGTTTACCAAAATTACAAAAAACATCTCACATAATTACTTAGTTTTGGATTTACATGATGGGGTTTTTGAAATATCTCTCTCCATGATTTCTGCCTTTAACCCAATATAATGTACAAAATAATAAAAAACAACAATGGAAATAAGTATAAATATATTTTAAAAAGACAGGAAAGGTGATCTGTATGTGCGTGTATGTATGGGGATGATTCTAAAATGAATATGTTTAGGGTAAACAGTTAGGTGGATAGAACAAGACTAATACATTGACTTAAAATAAGGAAACAATTAAACCACAATCATTACCATTTCATATATTAATTATTCTGTTTGTGTTACCTTGAATTTCTGAAGAAAACTTGCCTCCATTGTAAACAAAGAACCAAAAAACAGAGGAAAGAACACTTGTAAATCAATGTTTTGATTGTTTTTTCTTCTTTTGTTAAAGGCAGCCCACATTTATCTTATATTTCTCCATATTTAAATGTTATTCTAAAAGAATATGATGCTGTTGATTTTCCAATGCAATATTTTTAAATACTGTAAGCACAAAATAAATTGTATTTGCAGCCATCGTTTGGGAATGGAGACTGATATCTTTGAGATAGGTATCTGATAATCTGGGCCAATAAACACCAAACTATCTGTTGACTAAAGCTAGACACCACTAGAAGTGAATGATACATTGTTTTGTAATGTGCGTGAAATAACATGGAGTAACAGTTATCCCATACCATGGTATGCTTCTTAAATGAAGCTATCTTTGAACGTTGTTCGAGTAAATTCACTCTATCTTTAAAAGTCACCTCTTCCATTGTAGCTCGTTCTGTGCATCCCTGTTCAGCTTTTCACCGTTGGAAATCGGTCAAAAATGAGGTAACGTGGAAGCTGTCGGCTTCGTTGATAAATCATGAGAAGAAACAAACAGGCAGCTAAAACAAACAATTTGAAAGCAACGCCGCGAGACGCACCTGAGACGTACCTGCTGCGCGTGACCTGATGACGTGCGCGTTCGTGCCGTTTAATTGAGAAATCAGAACTCTACGTCACGTAGTAGTGCAAAGAGGCAGAGCCACTGTTTTTTTTTTTTTTTAATAGTATTATTCTCAATACAAATAATCATTAAAATAATAATCTCATTTAAAACAATAAATGATGTTCTTTACTGCAGATATTGTAAAAAGGAAAACGTTTGTGTGCAGTTTGAGGTGTATTAAATAGTTTTGCTGTTGTTAGCCTATCAAAAGTGTATATTTTGTTCATATTGGGACGCCATGTTCTGGCTTTATTTAAGTATTTTCTGGGGTTATAGATTAATACAAAAAAACATTCCCAACTGTTGTAAGAGCACATGTTTACTCTTCATCAATCATTCACTGTGGTTGGTCAAGACTGCAGTGAAGAGAAGTCACAAAACAACGGCTGTTTTAGGATGTGGTATTGAATCCTAAGGACTAGCTACTCATTTTCAGCATGGAGAGATATTTGAATTTACTCCTGACTTTATGCACACTGCATCTTGCTTTACATTTTAGCCCAGCTGTGAGTGCATCCAGGACGCCATGGACAACTGCTGATGAAAGGTGCAGTATTCCTCCCTTTAATATTATCTGACATTCACTTGATTACATCTTGGTAGTGGTTTAATATATTCCATTGATATAAGAGGAGGAACTGAGATAATAAAAGTGCTTTTGGGGTGACAGTTTGGCTGCGGCAAGGAGTGCCAGAGCTGTCAACAAACCAAATCCCATCAACTGTAAACTCGGGAGATGGTCATCCTGGACTCCATGTAACTCCTGCACAGAACAAAAGGTAATGTTGTTTTCTCAATACATTAATTAATAAGTCATGAAAAAATATTGTATAAAAATTGGTATTACATATTATGAGTGGCTTGTGCAATACCTGGCAATAGTGAAGCTTAAACTCTAGTGTTGACACAGTTTTCTGCTTGGTAGCTCAGATCAGTAATATTTGGATGAGATGATCAATGGGTCCAAAGGGTGAAATTATTATCCTAAAACAGCACATCTGCTCTAATAAGGTCAATAAAAGTCGGCCTTAATTTTACAATGCTGCTCCAAAATTTGAAGCTGCCAGAACCCATTGTACATTAAAGTTGCAACTATGAGTCGATCCGCGGAAAAAAAACATTTGCAAACTCATTTTATTGCAATACATTTGTTACTTGAATGCATTTTTGCTGATTCAGACAAGAAGATTACTACCTCTTATGTCTGTCAATTAGTGCATATAAGAAAGCTACTACCAACAGCCAGTATGGTTAGCTTAGCATAAAGACTGGAAACAGAGATAAAACAGATATCCTTATATGTCTAAACAAAATCTGTCTACCAGCACCAATTCCTGTACGGAATAAACATATCAACCCATTTTAATGCAAGTAACCATTTTTTGCCATTGAAACATGGCAAACATGTAGTTTTCAGCATCCAAAATATGAGGATTTCCTGCTTTCTCTGTTTAATATCATATTGGTTTTAGACTGACATAACAAGACACTGAATGACATCATCTTGCTTTGAGAAACTGGAACGGACACATTTAAATTTGTTATGACATTTTATAGACCAAACGATTGAGTAATCTAGAAAATATTTTTTCAGATTGATCAGTAAAGTAACAAAAACCTTATACCAAATATTTTATATAGCTACTTATAGGTAATGTACAAATAATGGGATTTTTTTTTGAATATATATGTTTTTAAAGGCAACAGTATGAACAAAATGTCATGCCTTAAAATGTGGCATTCTTCTGTGTTTATGCATAGTGTATGTCTGTACACCAATGATGGTACAGTATATAAAGGAATGAACATGGGGGATTTTGATGCTAACTAATGTGTGGCTCTGTTTTAGGTCCGTTTCAGACACATAGAGAAGCCCTCTCAGTTTGGTGGCACCGAGTGCTTTGAGACACTATGGGACAAGTTGGCATGTCCCACAGTGACAACTCAGTGTATGTTGACAGATTACTGCGGAGACAGCTTCACCTGCAACGAAACAGGCCAGTCCCTCCAACGCAACATATTATTGTTAAGAAGAAGATGCTTTTTATGTTTGCGTGTGCATCCAGTATAAGTAAATCTGTGTTTCTGTGTATTCAGGGCGCTGCATCAGCCAGTCCCTTCGCTGCAATGGAGAGTTGGACTGCGAGGGCTTTTCTGACGAAGACGACTGTGAAGAAATCAGGCGGAGAGATGACAAATGTTCAACCTTTCTACCCATCCCTGGGGCTGAACGTGGCACTCAGGGGTAAATAATGCATATAATGGTGTTATTATTCTCTTTAGATTGTATATCAAAAAGGAAGAACATTTATTTAAAGCATTGCAAATGACTTACTGTAACAAATTATAAGAACATACAGCATCAGGATAAATACATCGTCAACACAATATCTTCCTCTCTCAAATTGCTGAAAAACATCCTAGATCTACATAGTTAGAATTACGCCAATATTCATACAAATGTGTCCCATTTAAACTTCAATCTTGGAGAGCTATTCTATTTGGCGAGAGTTGAAGGTGTGTTTTTGGGTCTTACTTCCCACAGATACATTTTTTTCTCAGTTTGTAATACTTCAAATGCAAGGGCCTTCACCCGTGGGCCATCTTCATTGGAATATCTAATTTGACATTAGAAAGTAATCTAACACACATGTATTTCAATTAAAATCTTGGACATATCACTTTACTGACTGATTTAAATTACTTCTTTGTCTACAGCTACAACAGCTTGACTGGAGGCTTTGTGGATCATGTACTTGACCCAAAGTACTTTGGTGGAAAGTGTGAATATGTCTATAATGGTGAATGGAGGAAGTTCCTTTATGATGCATTCTGTGAGAACCTGCACTACAATGAAGACGAGAAGAACTACAGGAAACCTTACAACTACCATACTTACCATTTTGTGGTATTGTAATGTTGTTACTTTTTTGGGGTGTCTTTAATAAATGAACAAATTAACTAAGACATTTTGATTTTGACAAGATGGTTGTATCGATTTCAGGCTCAAGCTATGTCAGAGGGTTCTCATGAATACTATGAAGATATGACGAGCGTCCTGGAAGCAAGAAAAACTATGAGTTCCTCCAACGCTGGATTCACAGTTAGGGTCTATTATGTGGAAGTTGGACTGACTGCAAGTCAAGAATCTGAGTTTCTCAAAAACATAACGCAACATAAAAGCCAGGTATGATCTGTTGACCCAAAGGTTAAAAAGCTCTAGTCTACATGAAGTGCAATTAACTATTTTGTTTATTTCAAATATATACTATCATTGTGAAATGTTTGAAATCAGGGTTGGCGGATTTCTCAAAGCATTAGCCATTTTGAAAAAATGCTTGTTGGCTTTCTTGGCAAAAGTTAGACAAGAAGATTGATTCCTCTCATGCCTTTCCACTGCTACACAGTGGAAGCTACTGCCAGTAGCAAGTAAGCTTAGCAGGCTAAAGACTTGAAACAGAGGGAAACCTAGTCTAGCCTAGTCGTGTCCAAGATGTACATATTCTGCCTACCAGCTTGTTTTTTTAAGGACTGAAATCGAATAAGTATTCAATTGTGAACTGGTAATTGGATTTGTTTTGCTTTAGAGTCATAGCTCGATGTTTCCCCCCAGTCTGAATGCTGGGTTAAATATCACAATATTGATCTCTCTTCTCATCCTACTGTATTATCCACAAGTGTCAAAAGACAGCACATTTTTTGGGGTGTATAAATAATATAAAGTTTATAACTACTAATTCTAGCTCTGAAAAGGAAAAGTCTATAAAAAACGTTTTTCTTTGTCGTCAGGACCTAGGGTTCATCAGGCTTTTCTCCAAAGTGCAAACAGCCCACTTTAAAATGAGAAGTAATGAGTTGATGCTTCATGAAGATTTCTACATTTCACTCATGGAGCTGCCGGAGCAGTATGACTTTGGGATGTACTCCCGCTTCTTCAGCACATTTGGCACCCACTATGTCACAGAGGGAACTATGGGAGGAACCCTTGAATACATTGTTGTCGTCAACAAAACGTCCATGGCCAGCTCAAGTACTGTCAGCCCCACAGTTTTTTAATCAATGTCAATTGATAGGAAAGGTACCGTGAAGTAACCTTTATTAAATACTCTTTACTTACTCTTACAGATATTGATGGAAATCAAGCTGGGCGATGCTTTGGTGGCTCTATTGGTGTAAGTTATCCTATCGACGGCTCTAATTCAGTAGACTTCAAAGTGGGTGGGAAAGGATGCAAAAAAACGGGAACATTCAGTGCAGGTAAGTCATCAATTTTTTTTATTTTGAAATGTTTCTATCGACATCTGATATGAAAGATTGTTTTAGTAGAGTGTTATCAAAGCTTTTATTTCTCTCCTCTTTTGAATTGTAGACAAGGACTCAGGTTCTGCTGTAATTGAGGACATTGTTACTCTGGTGAAGGGGGGAAATACCTACAGCAGCAGTGGCCTGTTGGCTATCAGGAACCCTGACACCTACAGGAACTGGGGAGCATCCCTTAAATACAACCCAACACTCATCGAATACGAGGTCACCTGAAATATCATTTTAGATAACACTATGTTACAGAACATACATAGTGAATCTATTTGTTCATGATCTCACACTGCTTTTGTGCGTATGCTGTCGTGGTCATATGCATTTTAGTAACTTTTCTACTCTTCCTATCTCTGTCCGTTCATAGACCATGCCAATTTATGAGCTTGTGCGCCTCAGCACGGCTGCCGAACATTCAGGTACGAGACTGGCCAACTTGGAGAGGGGCTTGGATGAGTATCTGCAACAGTTCGACTCGTGCCGCTGCGCCCCATGTAGGCACAATGGCATTCCTGTCCTCAGCGGTACTTCCTGTGTTTGCATCTGTAAGCCCGGCTACCAGGGAGAGGCCTGTGAAGAAACTCTCAGAGGGGGTGAGAAGTTTTTCATGAGTAAATACAGCAGAGAAAATCACATTACAGTCATTTGCTAAAGATAAAGCTTTTTCCTCCAGTTTACATTCTTTATGTTAAATTAAGCTAACTACTTCATGTGTCCAGGCCTGTTGACATTAACACTGTTAATTAAATGGGTGAGAGAGAGAAAGGCGTTTGACCATGCCACAACCTTCAGGGTTAAACAGTAGGCCAAGGCATAAGGCAATCCAATGCCCAGGCCCAACTGTACTGCAGAGAAAAACACGTTTCCAGCCGTTTTGGTCTTAATAGCGACTTTTGAAATGGAATGACAATTGTACGCAAAAGGAACATTTTATGTTCATTTTCAGTTTTAAATAATATTTAGGCCAGAAGTTTTACATAGTTATGGGAAATGCGTCAAGTGACAGGTGGGTGCCATCAAAGGTTGGTAGCCGCTTGGGAACTTTCCAGCTGCGTCACTTGGGCATGCATCAGTTCCACCGATCTATTTTATCATGCAATATTTCACTCTCAGGGCAAATAAAGAGGCTTCCAACGGGATGAGAAATGTTTGTAGACCATTTGATAAATAAACTGGTGCAGCTAAAAAGAAAGAACAAAAAAAAGATCAGCGAGAGCCAGCTGCAATTGTACACTAAAAAGAGTTGTCTGACATTTGATTAAAAATGTTGACTTTTTCTAAATGTACCAACTAATAAATCATAATTTTTCAAACTATTACCGACATGTTTACATTCTGTATGTGTTCTTTTGTTAATCTTGGCTTTCAACCCCTTAATTTATCATCGAAAGATACCAGGACGGATGGGTCGTGGTCGTGCTGGGGGGCCTGGGCAGCATGTGCATCGGGGAGGAAGACTCGGACAAGGACCTGTGATAACCCTGCTCCTGATGGGGGCGGAGCAACCTGCAGAGGCTCCTCCTCTCAGACTCAGCACTGTTGAATTCACTCAGCGTGAAAATCTATGTTTTTTTTATAAATAAAACAGTTTTTTCACCCTGCTTATCTGTCTGAGCTTTGAATAAAAAGATGAAATGCATGCCTTTATCAGGACACAGACTATACTAATCTGTATATCAAGGTAGCAATGTTTTGCAGACTTTACCACGAGTGTGTAGATGCTTTGTATTCCAATCTTTAAATGCTTTGAATGTGAAGGTTGAATAAATCAAACAGGAGCTGAATGTAGGTCAGTGCTTCAGACTGATCTAGTTAAATGGTACAGTTATTCAGAAGTGACATGGTTTACTATTGTTTATGAAATATTCATTGAATATATCGCATTCAGGTCAAGTACGTTTTAAATCAAATATGATTAATTGTTTCACCTTGTAAGTCTAAAGACAAAGACATAGCAGACCAATCTAATATGTTCAAGGAGGGTTTAATAATTGTCCATGTCAATGTTGACGTCAGAGCAGATATTAATAGCATTCAGTAGACTCCTGCTGCAGTCCTCTGCAGGGCAGGCCTCCGTTACCAGGTGCTGGATTGTTACACTGACGGCTCCTAGTCATCGTTCTCCCACTGCAGGATGACCATGCACCCCAGCAGCTCCAGCTGCCGTCAATGGCTATATCTGTCAGGAAAGACCACATCATATTCCATATCAATATGTCAGGCTTTAGCAAAAAGAGAGAAAAAAATGTTGTTTGCGTGTTGTGTTGGATCTTGAGAGCTAACCTTTTCGCCTATTAGTGATCTCACAGCCCAGCCCAGAGTAGCCACCAGGACACACACAGTCACATCTGGTGCCTGTTGAAGGAGTAGGAGATATTTATTTCATTCTCATCATTATAACTAAACATCATTATCTCAACTGAAACATTGTCATATTCACGTTCCGCACTATTATCTTGTGTTAGGAAACAAAAACTCAAATAGGGAAGATTCATTGGTGAAATCAGCTTTCTTAGTCATCCTTTGAAGATAAAAAAGGTCACGTAATGTTCCTTTAAGTAAAAACAAAGGTCACCTCCAAAGACTGAAAACTCTTTGCATCATTTTGACCTCTCTTGCTAAACTATGCTGTATGTTGCTTTTTCTCATAGTTTCTGCCAAGAGTAAAGGAATCCACCAAAACAACTATTTGTATATCAAAACATTGATTTTTGAGGACAGCTTTGTTTTTCACGGGGAAATCCACATATCCCTTTAAGTATTGTGCCCAAAACTATACGTAAAATAACAAAACATAGCTCAGAAAAGAAAGTCAGAATTTGATAATGAGCTTTCAGTCTATAAGTTCTGGATATGGGATCTTATGATTTGCATAATATCAACATTAATATCCTTTGAGGTACCTTTCAAAACGGCCACTCCGTTGTTGTAGCAGGGAGCACATCGACACGGGCTGGCCTCTGCCAGGTACTCTGACAGCGCTCTCTTCAGGTTTCTTTTCAGCGTGGCATCCTGGGAGAAGTCTCTCGAAGTGACCAGCGCATACAGGGGCCGTGTCTAATGATTAACAAATGTCATTATGAAATTATTTAAAAAATAAATAAATAAAAAAGATAGAGCCCTAATAAAATCTGAAACTTGGCCATGTCTGAGGGAGGCAGCCTGTTTGTATTTGGCACAATTACTATTTGCCGTCTTTGCAGTTTGTCCTCAAATGTGTTATTGATCAGCCAATTTGTACTTTGCCTGTTTGTAATTGAGCAAATATTGGTAACACCAAAGATCAACTCTCTGCTGAATGTTCAGGCATCGATTAGTTAAGTACACATTGATGGGAGAATATTAGCATTTAGTTTATAGCATGTGTCATAATGTGAAAGAACACAAAATGAGACAAGGAAAGAAATTAGCGAAAAGGAAAAAGCAGAGAAACTCACCGTTGTGCGAAGAAAATCTGGGTTGAAACGCACGCCTTCACCCCACAGTCCCATCAGGTGCGAGGTGGGAAGTTTTTTAGACACCAAAGCAGTGATGGACTCACTACTTCCACCTCTTACAACAGCAACAAAGTCCTCCACCATGCGGCCATGCACTGTGTCCTCTGTGGAGAAACCGTAAGACCTCAAAGTTTTAGCATAAGTTCCTTTGTCTGATGAAGAACAGAACATATCCTGCAGGGACTTTGGTAAGAACGTGGTACCTCACCTCCCATCTCATCTAGCAGGCCATCACAGGATCCACTCTCGACTCCGACAGACACATAAACACCATTTATGTTGGCCCCGACCTTTAGGCCTGACTGTGTGCAGCGTTTGTAGTCTTCCAAAGAATATTCTAGAACAAACAAAGTAGTCAGGGAGTTTATATTTTAATCTCACGCAGCTAGACCATAATGAAATGGCCATTGTAACTATTTTAAATCTGTCTGCAACCTTTGACAGCCACCATATTCAAATTGACAGGGGATATTTGGAGCAGCACTAAACTGGTGTCCCTCTTATTTATCCAACAGGAAGTACTTTGTATACACTGAAGACAATTATCTAACTTTGCGTCCTTTATTTGTGGGGTGCCTCAGGGCTCAAATTTGGGATCCTTTTTTTTTGTGAAGCACTTTCTTTTTAACCTATAGATTTAATAAAAATGTAGATATATATTATTTAATCTATTACTACGGATCACCAGATCAGTGTTGAAGATGACGGGATGTAGAGGATGTCAATGCCATTGCCAAACCAAAGTATATGATCATGATAATTATCTTGTTTTGATATGCATTCTTGTGTTCATAGTACAATTAGAAACTCAGCATTCAAACGAAGCTTGATTTGACCGAGGCCTCATAAACTGATTACCTGATTTCTCAAGCTTCTCCTTATCCAGGATGATAGTGTGTGTGAAGTCTCCACCGAGGGCTGCCTCTGTGATGTAGTGGGTGCCATAGTCCCTATAGATCTGCCTGTATTCCCCATAAACATAGGTCTGCGGCAAAGAGCGTAGCCGCTGCAAGAACTCAGGGTGAAGCATTAAATCGTCTGACTTCAATATGTACTGGGCCAACTCCAGCACTACTTTGGTCCTCACAAAGCTGTTAGTCTGAGTGGAGAGAAAACATGAGGCAATTAATGGACACTTTAATGCTTTAAGGTTAAGATTGGAGTCTGAATTGACAGATAAAATAGATGATATGTGAGTATATATGATAAATCCTTAAAGTTATTTTTTTCAGTTATTGAGAAATCACTAGGTTTAACTGGGTTAATGCAACAAAAAAACACATAACTCACCTTGCCAGAAGCACGCCGGATCTTCCGTTCAGACTTGGTTTGTTTGTCACTGTTGTAGTTGAAGCCAAACTCAGCTACGCCTGGAATGGCAAAGCCAATGGAAATAGCGGTTTGGGTTGAGCGCTCCTTTATGGTGTGGTCCATGTACTCAGAGTATGAGCTAAAAGACTTGAAGTTGAAATCATAAGAGCCTTTTGTCTGTAAAAACATGGGAGGGAAAATGTCCTTAACATTTTGTAATAAGGAGGACCAAATTAATAAAACAAAAGTGGCTCCTTAATAAAAGATCATTCATATGTGTGATTGGCATCTGGTTTCACCTGATGAGTATACTGTTGTAAGTTGTAAGGCTTCCTGAATCTGACATCCTGGATGTAGTCTGGCAGGCAGCTGCCAGCGTAGTATCTGTTATCAAGCACCACTCCCTCCAGGTTACTGTTCAGGATGTTGATTCTGAAAGATAAGTAACAGCACCAGATTGTTGTGGGAAGAACATCATGTTTGAGGTATTCAAGTCCCCTGAAATAACTGACACTTATATTGTAGACTAATGGGAAAGTGACTAACCCTTTGGCGAGATTTTCGATTCCCCAGTACTCTTCGGCCTCCTGTCTGCAGGGCTTGGAAACTGTCTTACAGCCGGCTTCATCAGACATGTCCCCGCAGTCATCCTCCCCACTGCACTGCAGAGTTCTGGGAATACAGCGACCTGAAGGAGAGGACAGATGTGGATGGCAATTAGCAATTGTTAATTTCCCCCAAAAATAGAACTACAGGAGACCACTTTGCATTGTAATCACTACAGCAGCATTGCCAAATCGGGTCACGGGTTGTGGGGGGGGGGGGGCACACTTGCCCCTTCCTCACCTATACCTACTACCTACTTTTGGCATTCTAGGTCTGAACTACAGCCAGGCTTCCTGTGGATTCATAAAAAGTCTTAAACAACATTGAATTCACTTGTATACAAATAAGGCCTTAACTAGTGTTAGAAATTAAAATCAATGTTTTGATGGTATAATGTAGCTTAAACATACCGTCAGTTTAAACGCTCTTTTATACTGTTAAACCAGAAATTCTTGTGCACAAGCAGTTAAGCTTTTATTCTGAAAATCCTTCATCTACGGTTAGCATTTAGCATGTGGCTAATATAAGATTTCCTAAAAAGGTGAATTGAGTAGCGAAATGACATGGAGTGGTGCAAACCGAAACCTACGGATTTAACACTACAACTATAGATGTCGAGATACTACCATGCTGAATATTAAATGAAAGTACAGTTTATTTGAATACATTATTGTTTACAGACGAGAGTAGCATGTGACAACATCCGGAAATCAAACCAGCCGTGAAGTATTTTTTGTATGTTTTAGAGTATTGATTACAGCGTTTAGAATGTGTTACATGAAAAGTGATGAAAGAGAATATGAGGAGAAAAGGCGTGTTAAGCATATGTTGAAGGTGAAAAGTACCAATCCTCTGTTTAAATGCAACAACGGACATTAGAGGCGAGTCGAGCCGGCTGGCGGGGAGGAGCCAGCAGAGGATATATAACGGCACCGAACGGGGGATGGGATTTCTCTTCTTGCTCAGGAGAGCCAGATCACAGCTGTTTTCTGCCGGAACAATATTCTGTCTGTAACACTACCGCGCCTTTTTTTAATTAAAGTATCCCATTTGAATCTTTTCAGAGACTCCATTTAGTCTCATTTTAAAGCTTCTCTTCTGGACGCGAGAATAAAGAACATATTTAACACTAGTATCAAAACATCTGTCCAAAAATAAAGTCTTAAAAATGCTAATACACATATGCAATGCTTATTTGCCTTAAGATGTTGGAACAGTGCCTAAAGCGAGCCACTAAATAACTTACTTTAGCTTAGCATAAAGACAGAAGCAGTGTAATATTATATGTGGACTTTATGATATACCTATACAGTTTATGGATATACCTGTTTGTTTGCAGAGGAATCCCTCACACAAGGGAACATTGTCGCAGGTGTAGCGGTCCGGAACGGTACAGGCCTCCTCCTCCCTGCCGTAAAAATTGCACGGCTGCCCTCCAAACTGAGACGGCTGCTCCAGTTTAGCATAGCGATACTGGATGGGTGAGGGAGACAAACAAACACATAAACGGTCAGAGAAACACAGAGAACGGCTCCTAACAGCCCAATAAAGGTGCTGGAAGAGCTCGGAATCTGCTCCGGGGGACTATAACAGCCGAAATCTCATTAGAGGGCTGTTTTCACTTTGTCATGTCAAGGTTATTAATCCCCTTCCTTGTAAAGTGGATGAGATAGAGCACTGGAGTACATCCGCTGAGACCTTTGCTTCACAGAAAAACTGCCCAGAAGGGTCAAAATGTTGAATGCCTCACACTGCAAAATGATCTCTCAATACTAGCTCTTTGGGAATGATTTATTCACCATTCTCTAAACTGACTGTACCAAATCTTATCTCATTTACGGCGCATTACAATAGTTGGATCAACGTATCTGGCATGTAGCGGGATAATGGACATGTAGGCCTATTTAGTTTACTGCAGCAGACAAAACCTTACCTTTTTTTTGGTAAATCTTTTACATTTATTTGCTTTATTTTTAAGTTAAAGGTGGGGTAGGTAATTTTGGAGAAACCAGCTCGAGTGCGCTAGAATTTGAAAATACACAGCCGGAAAAAATCTGCCACTTCCTTACAGAGCCCCTCCTCCAACACACACGAACGCGCGCACCAATGAGGTATGGGCTCAGAACAGTCTCATAATACGCACATGCACACAGAAGGATTCACACTTGTATTTCCGGATCCACACTTGTGTTTTTCAATGCACACACAAATGTGTTCCGTTTCATATAGCCTACATGTAAATAAAATCCAAACGCAGAAAAAAGTTTTACATATGTATTTTTGATCCACACTTATTTGTTTTCCGTTTAAATCCCCTGAACCTGCAAACACAAACCGCTTTCTGTGCACGTATCGCTGTGCATTCGTGTGTGGGTTTTTTGAGACTCCCCTGACGCTCACCCGATTCGTATTTGTAATTTCTCTCATCTATAGCCAATCAGATGTCTCCTCCAGTCTAAGCCAATCACATGAGCGCGCCCCCACGAGGGTATGATTTCTTGCGTTCATGACACTTCATATACGCATTTTGCGCTGTCCGGTCAGCTCGCTAAACAGAGGGCGGAGCTTCAGGTGATCATGCAGAGCTGCGTGTCTCCGTCAGACTCAGCAGCTGATCTGATCTCTCTCTTGCGTCCGGTTACACTTCACTCGCGTTTATGTCCATATCGATCAGATCCAGCTCTCCTGATCGGCCTTTATAGAGAGCACCGATCAAACTATTAAGAGTGAATATCGGCCGATAATGACCGGCGGGGCTCCCCCCCGTTGACAGTTCACTTTCTAGCACTGGCTTCGTAGTGCACTGATCGATTAGGCTAAGCTAACCTGTAGCTGCTCCCTCCACACTCACAACAACTTCATACAGACATAAATAAAGCAGGCAGCTGTATTCAGGAAACACACATTTAAAACGGTTTTGCAAGCCGTTTTTGTGTACACACAAGCATTCATCGAAAGTGGCGCTGAACCTTAATAATATAAAGGCTTGTATTTGCGTGCATTTCCTGTTCGGAAAGTGGCAATAGAGAACCGCAGTGACGCGTCGTAAAACCCGGAAGTAAACTTCTTCCGGTTCCTTCGTGAAAAACCAATGCAAATTCTCCATAGGATTTTGGAAAATAGCTCGAAATAAGGTCTGTGGTTGAGTGCTGACCACAGCGCAAATGCGTATATGACGCTGTCATGATCAGCATAGATCATAACCTCAGAGGGCGCGAGCTCATGTGATCATGCAGAGCTGTGTGTTCTCCGTCAGACTCAGCAGCCTGAATCTGATCTCTCTCCGTCCGGTTACACCTTTCACTCGCGTGTTAATGTCCATATCGATCGATCAGCTCTCCTGATCGGCCCTTCATAGAGAGCACCGCGACAAAACATTAAGAGTGAAATATCGGCCGATAATGACCGGCGGGGCTCCCCCGGTTGACAGTTCACTGTCTGGCAACTGGCTTCTTAGTGCACTGATCGATTAGGCTAAGCTAACCTGTAGCTGCTCCTCCACAACTCACAACAACTTCATACAGACATAAATAAAGCAGGCAGCTGTATTCCAGGAAACACCACCTTTAAAACGGTTTTGCCAAGCCGTTTGTTGTGTACACACAAGCATTCATCGAAAGTGGCGCGAACCTTAATAATATTAAAGGCCTTGTATTGGCGTGCATTTCCTGTTCGGAAAGTGTGCAATGTTACTGAGAGTGGAGGTGTCCTGAGATTAGCGCCTGCAGGCAGGCTCCATGGACCTGTCAGCTCCGGACTGCGCAAAATGCGTACATGAAGCGCTACGTCATGAACGCAATAAATCTACCCTCGTGGGGGCGTGCTCATGTGATTGGCTTAGAATTGAGGAGACATCTGATTGGCTATAGATAGAAAAAATGATGATAGATGAGAGAAATTACAAGTACGAATCGGGTGACCGTCAGGGGAGTCTCAAAAAACCCACACACGAATGCACAGCGATCCATGCACAGAAAGCGGTTTGTGTTTGCAGGTTCAGAGGTTTTAAACGGAAAACAAATATGTGGATCAAAAATACACATTAAAAACTTTTTTCTGTATTTGGATTTTTTTTACATATGAAACGGAACACATTAGTGTGTGCATTGAAAAACACAAGTGTGGATCATTTTGCGGATCATGAAATACAAGTTTGAATCCTTCTGTGTGCATGTGTGTATTATGAGACTGTTCTGAGCCCATACATAAACTGTAAGAAACAAAAAATCTAACCTTCTTATAATCTTCAGACACAACTTCCCAGTCATTCATCATCTATTAGTGAATCATACAGCAAAGCCATCCATTAGCCCTCCCACTCATTCTGCTATTAATTCAACCATCCATTCAACGTATTAAACCACCAGATTCCACACATGAACCTCAGAGAGCGACGGATGTGAATCAGATAACAGAGTCAAGGAGATGACATGCCATTGTTTCTGTCTGGATGGTGTGCTGCAGAGATATGTGTGGAGTACATGTTGCACCAGGCACCGCGGCCCATAAGTCAGAGCGAGACCCGCCGCCGAGACTAAACAGTTTAGACTGCTTTATGATCACCAAACCCGCAAGGAAATATGAAAGAAGAGGAGTTATTGCCCTCATTACAGAGGGGGAAGGCGGCAGAGTTGGCGTTTGTGGAGGTGGGGAGTGGGGGGACTTTGATCTGCTAACAGATTCTTAAGATGACAAAAAAAAACAAAGACACACAAGGCCCTCTTAAAGCACTAATGGAGACGAAAATAAATGAAAGATATCAAATGTAAAGCAGCTGATACATGACTGTGTGTGTATAGTGCGGTTCATTGCTGGGGGGGGGGGTCTCATAATCCCACCCAGACGCTATAGTGTAGTCTCTGGGGGCCTCGATGATTCATCTAGTTGGCTGAAAACCAAGCAGCAAATATGGTTGTGATCACTGCTGAAATTCAATTAAACGTGTGTGTGTGCAAAAAAGTGCAAACATATACTCTTGGATACTCTCAGTGTGTGTCAGTGGAGAGTCGTGTGATGGGGAGTGATTCACTGAGAGGGAAGTTTACATTACATTACGCTGTGGTGTATACAGCGGCTGATAAAGAGAGAGCGAAGAGACAGTAGGAAGTAAGACGGATGGAACTGGGAGGGAACGTCCTGCATATTTCTGACCTGAGACCATTTACAAAATATACTTCATTCATGACAACTTGTACAGTTCGGCTAAACAGACAGTGCAGGCCTTCATCCTCAATTCTGAAAGAGTCCCGAAACAGTTAGTTAATCAACGTAAAATTAGCTGTCAATCATTTTAGTTTTATTTTAGTTAAATATATTGTGTTTAGGACTAACACTACCTATTTATCACCTTTTGTCAGAAAAATAACAACTCTCACCTTCAGAATTGGCCGTTGAGTTTTTTCTTAAACAATTCAGCCATTGTGTGTCTCATTATTTTAATTTCAAAATAGGCTGAATGAATCAAAATACGACTGCTCCTGTTCTTACCTGGTTTGCCTCAGGGTTGGAGCTGTTGTGGCAGGTGGTCATAGGTGAGGCAGTGAGGGGGTGTTGGCGGGCGGAGTAAGAGGTTGGCTGGATGAGAGGAGGAGTGTGTCCGAAGGCGTTGAGGCTCCTCTGCTGGGCCAACAGCTGCTGGTACGCCATGGGGTTGATGGGGTGAGGGAAGCTGAAGGAGGGACTGAGCAAGAGGGAAAAAGTTAGCATCTGGAAACAAATTATGGAGATTTTTCGACTGGTGGCTAATATTCAAAGAGTAATGACACAGTGTCAGACCTTGCAAACATGCTTTTTACTTTGTACTGCCCTAAATGCCATTTTACTTGTCTGAATGCCTGTTAAACCATACACTCAAGCACGTGCAATTCACTCTGCATCGGCCAATCGATTTGCTACTCCCTCACTGCGAGCGTGACGCAGGTGCTCTTCAACAAAAACATGCCTGTTTGCTATTCTGGCTGCAAAATGGTAGAAAGAGCTCCACACTGATATCAGGACAGCATGAAGTCTACACATCTTCTGCTGCAAAACTGAAAATCTAACAGTTTCAACTGCATCTTTGCTAATAAAAAGAAAACCTCTCTTCTGTACATAGCACATACATAGTTTGGCTTTAAGTGAAGCTAATGCAGAAGCACTTAATCTGGTTTACAGATAGGAAAGGTACCTGCAGGATTCTTGCTTTTGAGTTTGTTTCGTCATTGTTGAATGCACTTTTTGTAAATCCCTTTGGATAAAAGCATCAGCTAAATTAAATAATGTAATGTAAATGTGCATATATGCATGTTTGTCAGATGTGTATACACGTGCACCATATAACCACCTGATGCCTCCGACTGAGAGGTGCCCGTAGGAGCTGCTGGCGGCCGAGCTGGAGCGGGAGTTGTTGATGTACGCCACCAGGGAGTTGGGCGAGGTGCGGATCATCGTCTGCAGGTCGATGCTGGCGTCCGACAGCGGGGATATAGACAGCGCCCTCTTTCTGCTCAGCCGGGGGGTTAGCCGTGGGCTTGGGAAACGTGATACTGACAAAAGAAACGACAAGAGAACTTTAGCGATCTGGTCTGAAAGAATGATGGACCACTCGAACATAAATTAACTACTTGCTTACAAATAGATACATCCGGGGTGTCCATGGTAGTATAGTTTTGTTTGCATGGTAGTGGGTCGGTTTACTACACAGATGTGGAAACAATTTCTAGATATTGACAAGTAGTTTGGATCATAAAGTAAAATACTATATTGTTCAGTTCCAGATACCTGTGACTTAATGTTCTGCCTTTGTAGATACACTGTGATCTATAATGCACATGTGTAAATGATAAACTGAGGCATTATATTGTTGAAATTACACTTATTTTTCTCAAAGAATGTTTTGTAAAAAGATAGTTGATTTAATGTGAGCATTTGAACAATGTACTTGTTTGCACTAAAACAAAGGGAACAATTTGAAGTTGTGGTTATTTATAGGTTATTATGCTATGATTGTACTGGTCAGGCCAACTTGAGATCAAATTTGGCTGTATGTGGCCCGTGCCGTGAACTAACATTTGTTTGACACCCCTGAGATACATGATGTCCAAAAAGCATCAGAACAATATTTCAGACACTTTTGTCAGGGCTCACCGGCACCAGATTGGAGAACAAATAACCTCTGTAGGGTTAGGGTTAGCCTCAATAGAAACCAGCAGCTACCCTGGACCAGGTTGGAAGAAACATTCACCCCCATTGAAGTGGAGGTCATAGCCATGCTAAGCAACACTCTATCTCCTGCATCTCCCCCCAACACACTCACACACACACACTGCTCCCCTATTTAACATTCTTCTCCTCCTATGCATAATGAATCGCCTCCAATCATTCTCAGTAATTACCTTGATAGAAATCTCTTTCAGACTGCTGTACTTGGGCAAGTTAAATGGAGGCAATTTAAACAAATTGATCTCAGCATACCATTAAAAAAGAACAAGGCTGACTCACAAAGGTGGCGTTCACGACCTTCCGCTAGACCTGGCTGTGGCACTTCTTTTTTTATTCTCACAGAAAATGGAGGGAAAAGCTACTTTCCAATGAACTTTTGGAGATGGCTATTTATTTTTCCATTCATACTGATAGTCCATCATTCATGTGCATTTCTTTGTTTTACATTTCTGAGGCATATAGCTCCCACACAGACAGATGACTTGGAACCAACAGGTGCTGCTTGGCAGTGTGAGGGAAAGAAAGCAGGACCGGTGTGTGTCTTTGTGCTCACATTTAATTAGGTCTTACAGTGGACATCATCAGAGGCGCGAGAGGCAGGAAACTCATAATAGGCCCATCACAGCTCACCAAGGCACACATTTGCTCAACATCAACTTCACTGCTGTCAATATGCAGCCAATCCCTCTCTGTGCTGCTGGAACTCACAACCCTCAGGCTAAATGAATCCAGGCACCTCTGTAATCACCGCGCCAGACCTACAGCCATAAACCAGGGTCTTACTTACAAAACTATTATGTTTGGAGGTGGCGAGTCGTAAAGCAGTGGCATGTGCACTTAGTTAAAGGCCCCCGGGATGACCCATGGCGGACGACAGTTGTTAGGGGCCCAAAAAAAGACTTGGTGGAGATGATCGTGATGTGTATGAAAGAGTTGGCAAACACAACAAACGGTCCTCAGGAATGTGCCTCTTTGGGGCTAATAAATAAATGTGTCATCTTTGGTAAACTACAGGAGATGTGTTGGTCGAAAAAAAACAACCTAAAGCATTGAGAGTCTATCATCCACTTTGATACATGGATCGTCACAAACGGAGTTCTTTCCGATCTGCTAAGCAATTCATACAGGGTTGGGAGGGTTACTTTAAAAATGTATTCTGTTACAACTTCTAGTTACATGTAATGTAATGTAATCAGTAATCAACCTAATCTGAGTATCAAAATATAAAAGTAATGTAACCTGATTACTTTCTGTTACTTTTGGATTGCCTAAATTACAAATGCAATGCAAACAAATACAAGAGAAAATAAATATCAATACAATGTGCATTTAGAAAAGAAGAAGCCAAGATATTTAGGATAAAAAAAATGCTCAGAGATTTGATTTATAGGAACTGCCTTTCATTAAGCATATTCAGGCAACACATGAGCATATACTAGAGCAGGGGTCTCCAACCTTTCTTCATCTGATAGCTACTTTGAAAAAATGAAAGTGGCCAAGAGCTACTTGCATCACATCGCTTACATTTATTCACATAGCCCTCATCAGTTGAATTAAGCTATACTTTTGTACACGTGTGAAATTGCAATACCTAAAGCTTATCTAAAATCTTAACTTCACATCAAGGTCCAAGAAAACGAAAATGTCTCACATATTATTATGGCCCACATAGTTAAGTACATCACTGAACATTCACATACATGTCCTTAATCACCACCTTACAAGCATTTCACTCTTTCTCACAGTTAGTGAGATGATTGGCACTGCATGGAGTCCACCATAGAGGGGTCTGCTGGAGTGTACCCACTTAGTTTCACTCTAATAGTCATTTCAATGTTCATCAGTCAGTCTTGTTCTCTATTTAGATTTCATGACATTCATGTCAGAAAAAGCTGCTTCACAAAGGTATGTAGGACAGAGCCAAATAAAGCAGACATTTTTAGTGATGCTTGGTGACGTTCTTATAGTTTTCTGGGTCTACAAGGCTCCAGAAATGTTGTGAGTTTTGCTGAGACTTAAGTTGAACATTATTTTGGAGATTTATAACCTCCATCTCCATCTCCATGGGATTGACACTGAACAGTTTAGCCATCTTCTCCTTCTTCGTCTTCACATTAAATTATAAACCATAATAAATCAATTGTATCAGTCTAGCCTCCCTGTAAATGACCTTTAATATGTTTAACCTTTTGTAGAGGTGGTTATATTTGTGTACCGATGTTTTCCTGTGGTAAAGTTTTAGTTTTGTACTTTTATTTTGATAGTTATAAGATTCGGACTTTTATTTTGAAGGGACTTTTGCCGGAAGTGAATAGAGAACAAAGGATTGTAAACACGTAATGACGGATGAATGACGGAGAAATTAACTTCAGATAATTAGTTACTGATAGGGGCACAAGGGTTGTTATTATTTTAATTAATATGTGTATTGATATTGTGTGGTGTTATTTCGAAGTTTTGCAGAGTTTTGAGTTCACGCTTTTGTGTTAGCAAAACTGCTATATAATAGGGTGACCATATTTTGATTTCCAAAAAAGAGGACATGCTGCCCCCAGCCTCGAGATACTTAATGATACTCAACGTTTACTCAAAGATGCCTTATTGTTTTAAAGTATGCCTCCTCTGTATGGATATACAATTATTATTTATATTATTTTACTGTATATAACACAATAATATCTCTCTATAACCAAAGATACACCAAACCAAGGTTACTCAACAATCAACATGCTTTATTATACCTAGAATTATCTCTGACAAATCTCAAATGCACAAGAATAACTTAAACATCAACCTGTAACAAAATAATAGCTCTCTTTTCAAGTCTTACTGGACAGAAATAAATAACAAAATATATGAAATAGTAGAAAATAGAAAATCCAGCTTTAACAAATAATCTCTTTGTATCTTGTCAATGTAAACAATAAAACAGTAACCTCACAAAGATACTAATGTAATTATTTTAGAAGTGCACTATGCAGTTTTGGATTTCACATTTGCATAATTGCCATTAGTGAACATAACCTAACATAACATTTGATTACCTAGATCAAACCAAACACATTTTGAGGCACCATGAACCAAATATAAGCCTACTTTAAATGTTTGTAAACACAATTCCAGGCCCTGTCATTGAAAACAACCACAGTGAAACGACAACTTTTCACATATTTCTAGCTTCAAACAGTTTTCTAGGGTCCCAATTTAAAATTAAAAGTTTAAAGTTTCTCTCCCACAGCTACATAGCTTTCTCTCTCTGCATAGCTGCATACTTCAATCTTCTTCATCCTGCTTTTCTTCTTCATCCTCCTTGTCTGCCCATCGATA